TGGTTTGCGGTGTTGTATTTGGAAAATAAACTAGTTAAGATAATGAAAATTATAGGTCCTTAAAGTAATATTGGTGCATTGTGATATAAACAGCACAAATCCTCTATCACCTTGTCCAACAGTTGGGTGTGCTTTGCTCTGTTGGTTGTTCTAAACTATATCAGTAAAGGTCTGCAGAGACACATCAGCAAACACAAAACGACAGGAAATGACCATCATGACAATAAGTATGACTATGTTTGCGGCTGTGCTCAGGTCCACCTGTTGTCATAGCAACTCATGCAACAATTAACATGTCTCTGGGTTAGAGGTTCTTACATGAGGCCTGGTCTCCATTGGTCTTTGTGGCAATGTCCATTTTCTGCTGCCGATCTTTGGTTCCCGTGACCTCCTCCATCCTGCGGATCTCAGACATGCACAGTTTGGAGTTGTAGAGGAAAAACATGCGCCCCTGCAGGATGGTGAGCTTGTGTTTGGACCAATCCCAGAGCTGCCGCAGGTTCTGATTGTCCAGTGCATAAAACGAGTAATTCCTAGAAAAGAACACACAAGATTGCATGAACATATTTTTACTGTAAGCGGAGTGTGCTACAATGGTCCTCTACCTCGTCTGAATGAAACCTCACATATGATTTGGGAAAGTCTAACCAGAAACAGCTACCACAGTGAGACATTTTGAAAAGGTCAGTCCTTCCGCTTTTAACTCATAATTACAGGAGGAGGCTCTGAAATAGCGAGGATGAGATGGGCTTAGAAGACGAAGTCTCACCCGATTTCCTGTTCCTCTCCACGAATAACACGAAGTTTGCGGAAAAAGGAGAGGGACACAAGGGCGTAGGAACGTCGTACTGTCAGGTAGCCAGTGATCTCCTCCAGCTGACCCAGACTGGCTTCCAGCTCAGCTGCTATGTTGTCTACAGAAAACCAGAAAGCACATTTTGTTTTGTTTTTTTCATTCTTCTATATGCCAAAGCTGAATAATATGATTGACCTATTTACCCTGTTCCGACACAAAACTTTTATTTATTTACTTTGGTTGAATCTGTGTCTAGTTGCTGAGGTACATGTTCAATATGTTTAAATTTAAAAAAAAATAATGTTGTGAAAATGAAATGAATTGTTAGATTTATCGTAACCTGAAGCTGGTATTTGTTCTGTACTGAAGTTTGATTCAAACAAACAAATCACAGATACTCACTTCCTCCACGCAGGTTAATGACCAGGCTTCCATTGAGAACAGTACAGCCTTTCAGAGCCTGGGCAGCAGTGACAGAGTCCACAGTTTTTAGACCCATGCACACCTTAGGACAGAGCCCTGCACAGGGCATACAGTTGAGCCTGTACAACAAAGAGAAATAATTATTAGTAAAACTGTGTCCACAAGATAACTGTGTATGCTGAAGTCACAAATGACATGTTTTAAATTTCATTACAGTCATTTTTAACCTTCTTTCAGATTGTCTTTCGACACTGAAACACCATAAACCTGCATATTAACCACCACAGGGCATCAGGAACCTGCGGTGGCATTTCATCAGATTTAAAAATCATATGGTGAACATGATTGAAAACAGGTCACACATCAAGCAGACAAAGAACCAAGTTAATGTAACATATGAATCTAAATTTAATTTTCAATTAATCAGCTCTGTTTTTGGTCTCCACCACCACCTGTTGGAAACATATGGCTCTTTTGCAGCTAAATGCTACCAACTCTGTTCATGTTTGATGCTGGGCAGGTTATGCACATTGCGTTTTACAGCTTTACACTGAAAGCTGCAGCCTGAGGCTCAAAATAGTGATGAGAGTGTGGATTCTGAACCAAAACAGTAAAGTTGTCAAAAATAAAGGTCAACAATGAGCTGAAAGATGCTCAACAGCTCTGCAGAGCTAAAGGGGAACTGCAGAGCTGGGTGTTACATAACCTCGAATTACACCTTTCACAAACAACAACAACAGTCATGAAATGTTGAATATAGCTGCGTTACATAAATCTTCGCTGCACTGCATGCAGAATAAAAACGATGATGATTAAACTTAAAACACTTTCCTGAATGCCAGCTTGAACTTCTGTCTTGTTTGAACTAAAAATGAACTAACCCCAAACTTTGACCTTGACAACCAAGCTGAACGACCTGGCTTACATAATGTTTTCATAACAAGTCTCTTCTCATAACAAGTATATGGCCATGCCTTTGTATGCCAACCCATATTAACCCATTTCCTGAAAAGCCGTCTGTACAATCCCACTTTCATAATGCGGTAAGTGCAAACTTTGATGAGGTAAAATCCAAAGTACACAACAATCTCTGCAGCCTTGCAGAAACACCCAGCAGCCAGAGCACACGTCTTTTAGAGACATCACATGCTGCACAAAAGGTTTTTTTGTTTTGAGGGAATTAAGGGAATTAAGGCACAGATTAAACAATGATGGGCTCTGGGTCACTGTCCCAAGTACTACGATGTCTCCACGCTGTTTTGCTTTTGGCTGGTTTATGAAGTGATAACGTCTTTGTTCCGCAACAGTTGGGTAAGTTGGCAATTACAGAAGCATGAGGTATTACTTTTTTTGTGAATGCCAAATAAAGGAAGTGGGTGACAGTGCTGCAGTTTTTATTACGTTGTCTACTAAATGCATAATGAAAATTAAATGGTTTAGTTATTGTTGCAGCCGTGTCATATGTGTAAAAGAGCAAAACAAACCACCTGTATCATACAAAGACTCTTAAGCATGTCATGTGGAAAATAGAGGGTTATGGGCCATGTATCTTTGTCTGGCTTACTTTCATTTCCACAGCTTAACTTAAAGCCAACAAATGTGAGGGAGATGCCAGGGGGAGAGAAAGGGAATCATGGGGAAAAGGCAGAGATATGAGTAGAGGTCAGTAGCAGCTTTACGTTTACGATGAAAAGGATTGTTGATTTAAACCCCTGGCGAGAGGTGAACACATCTGCACATCAGAGAAGCTCTAGATTTGAACTGCGGAGCTCTTAAATCACACAGAACCGCCTCCACTTTACAGAAATCTGTGCAATATAGACCAAAGGACACTATACAAGAATATAAAAACATACTGTAATACTTTATATTATCAAGATATAACAGTGGCTGACTGTAATTTCTTTCTGTGATGAATTTAAATCAAAGTGATTATATTACTTGAAACACGTTATTCGCTTCATCCATTCATGTTTGATTTATGATAATAATAAGGAGACTTTCTCCGGTTACCTGGATATGTGTGCTTTCTTTTTCTGATTCAAAACCTTGCACCAGCTGGACAGCAAAAGAAAATCAGTAGCTCTCTTTCCTTCTCATTTATCGCTGAGGTGCACTTGAGCAAAGGGCTTTAGTTTTTATCTGCTCCAGTGGAGCTGGATCTGCTCGGAGAGTCCTGCTACAAACCTCTCAGCTCTAAATGTACAGAATGTAACGCCATGATTTTGAAGCTAAAAGCAGCTCAAATGGAGACGATAGAAACCTTTAGTGAATAAATAAAGGCTGAATACACACATAACAATCATAACACCAGAGCGCAACCACTTGTCCTTGTCATCACCATTGTGAATGAGAGACTGCCAAAACTTCACTGCTGAATTTGTTTGCCAGACAGAGCCCTTATCTATTTGAGGCCAGCCACAGGGAGTCGAGACCCAGGACCCCAGGGAACTCACAGTCTGTCCCCAAAGTCTCCCTGACACCTCTGGTGTTTAACTGTGAGCCAAACAGCCTTGTAGCAAAAGACAACAGGTCCTGAAAGATCCAGCTGTGGTGTTAGCCTCTGCCTGAGCAGCATGATTGGGGCCGTCTGGAGTGTCTGTGCTTGCAGGCACACCCACACTACTCAACAGGCCCGTCACGGTCAATGAAGGTGTCATGGCGACGAAGGTCATTGTCAGGTCAGTACATGTACTACACTCTTCTTTGAAGGAGGCAGGTCTGTTTGAATGCAGCTACAGAGATACATACATAACACACTGTAAACTACAGATGTCCAGAGAAGGAACACTTGCCTGAAGCTTGCACGCAACAATGAAGATGCCACCGGTTGGTAAACAACCAACAATCTTGTGCAGCGAGTGGGCAGCGGAAAAAAATAAAAAACCATGCAACAGTTGGATACAGAGTCATAATCATAAACACAGACATCCTGCTGCACTGCACTAATATGACCTAGCTGTCTGCACTCTCGCACACAAACACAGAGGTGCATGTGCACATATACAGAGTACTGTCTGATCCTCAGCTCCAGTTTACTCATCCTATGCTATTAACGAGTGATAAGAGCAAAAGTATTCTTAATGGGTTATGCCGGGATGTGCGTGTACAATTTTTTCTTTACCTCCGCTGCTACAACTCCGTCTGCTATGTCTATGTTTATGTTAAATGTAAATCCAAATTTCTCAGAGACCACAGTAATGTCGTTGAATGTTTTTTTCCCCCCAAAAAAAGGATTTTCAGTTGACTGTGATGTACGACAAAGAAAAACAACAGATCTGAGATATTTGAGAAGCTGAAGTTGAGTTTATGTCTACCAACTAATAATTAGCTTTTGTGTATAATTGTCTGTTCTAAAATAAAATAAATCAGAAATGAGGAACCACAAAAAATAAAAACATGCATTTCTGTTTATTCCTTCAATCTTTCCTGACATCAGCCCTTACATAATTTACCGTTTGCCATCTTGACCAGTGTCTCCAGGTCAAACACACCAATTTAGTCTTTACTAATAATCTGTATGGTAAGCCGAATGCTTATATAAATTATTATTTTTTAAGCACCTTCAACAGGTATGCTTTTAGCAAAATTACACAAGCAATAGACTCAACAAGTCAACACACTCTATATGCTATTGATGTTTATGTGTGTTTGCATGTATGAATGAAGAATATTTAACAGACTCAATGATCAAACTGTTGCTTCAGGTCATTAAGAGCCCATCAGAGCAGTATGAGTGTCCACTTACGAGGAGGAGTTGACGGTGGTGTAGCCGGAGGGACAGTCGGCGACGCAGGCCCCGTTGTGGATTACATACTCGTGGCAGTCGGGGTTCTTTGCGCGCTCCTTTTCCCGCTTGCATTTGTTGTGGAGATCCTGGCAGAAGGCGAATGTGACGCAGCGCCAGCCCTTGAAGGTGAAGTGGTTTTCGGGGCAGCGGTCCACACAGTTACCCTCGAGCTGGAGGCCACGGCAGGCCACACAGTGACTGGCTGAGTTGGGCTGCAGGCAGCCGCCCAGGCACTGGTCGTGGCAGCACTGGTCGTCCTTGGTGCAGGCCCGGTGTTTGCACTGTACAGGACACACTGCAGGCAGGGAAAGAAGAACAAGGTCAGGTTAAGGAGGAAATGAATCCCACGAAATGAAAGTGTGTCATGTGAAGGAAAAGGTTTAGTATTACGAGCTCAGTTTGACCTGCGGGAAGGGAAGTACAGGAAAAAGGAGCTTGTCGCCATTCGAACATATCGTTTCAATTCCCCGGTTGTCATGGGTGATTTGAATCAGTCCCTAATGACAGCAACATACTGTATTTTTATATCTTTAATGCCACAGAAATTTCATAGGGCCTTATCGCTCTATCCAAAGGAGAGAAATCCATCCACACGAAACTCGCCATCTGCCCAGAGGACCATCTGCCGTTGGCCAACAAGCATACTGAGTGCAACCAGCAGGCATCCAACACTAAATGACTAAAGACAGACACTTATGCAGAAGTCTTGTGAAAGTGGCACAGAGACGATGGAGAAACATTTGAATCATACAGTAATTTGCAAGTGAGACACATGAAAGATGGCTTTGCTTGGTGTCCTTCTGGTTTTTGTACGGGCCTTGTACATTTGCAGCTCTTTTACTGAAGTAACAAAACAGCACTGTTTACTTGGAAAGAGTTATTACACAAGAACTGCAATACCTGGGGGAACATTCTAATAATACCTCCTGGTGGTAAGTACAACAACATTTGTTTAGAAATAGGAAAATAGAGCACATAGATTAGATCAGAAAATACATAGGACATATTTAGATGTGCAAAACTACATGAGTTTTTCAGATAGATTTGTTTTCATAATTGTGATGGAAATATCGTTCCTGTGGTCCCATTGTTATTATTTTATTTAAAAGCTCTGTCCAATCTCATTCGAATCTGAATGTGCGTGTTGGAGAGAAGAAGAGAGCAAGTGGTAATGAGCAGGCGGCACAACATTTGACAGAGGCGCCTCGCAATTCTCTAGAAGAAGAAAGAAAAACCCTGGACAGGCTCATCAATGACCTGAGTATCTTTACTATCTAGGGCAGTAGGGCTCCATCTGATTGGCCAATCATACTGACATGCAGATGTTAATGCATGGTGCATGGAACACCAGTTATTGCACTTCAAGCAGTCTTTGGCAACACGTATATTGCGCATGTTGCTATCGCGATGATTGTAGATTTTTGATATATGGTGCACTGATAAATCATACAACCTCTGAATCATCTAAAGTCGCTGAACATGATTTAAGCACGGGCCTTTTCTAGCAGCATGGACTCAAGCACCTTGTGAGCACACAGAAGACATAAACACTGATAGCAGGAAGATACAATGTTCTGATAGTCACACAAACATACAAAGGTCCACTGATGTTTCTGGGGCATAAACACGTTCAGCTGAGGACAAAGACACAAGTCTGTAGGCTGCCTGCCCATGCATACGTCCATATGCATGTGTGTCTGTCTGTAAATAAACAAGTTACATAACTGACTCTCAGGATTGGCAGGTGTGCGTGTGCGTGTGCGTGCACAGTTCATGTGCATGTTCTTGTCTCACTATAGGTGTGAGGACGAGTGTGCAAGGGTACACAGGGGCTACTCAGAGGTTAATACAGCAAACCGACCCGGGCTGATGACATTAGCTTCTCGTCCACGAGAGCCAGAGTAAGATAGTTCAGCAGCACAGGAGATAATGAGTCGCGGAGGTTAGGGGCAGGTTACAGGTCAGCTCGTAAAAATGTGAGCTTGTATGTGTTTTATTGGCCTGAACAAACATTTAGCCACATGGAGCAAAACCACATTTCATAGTCGGTGCTGTATCTCCAATTATGAGACAATGAATTTCCATAATGTGTTATTCTCTGTAACGCTCTGAAGTCTCTCTTGTTAAGCATGACTCAGTGAGTATGTGTCCAAAACAGCATGGCTTCATTAGTGTCATGAGGTCAGTCCTTGAACGAACAAAACAACAACCTCTCACATTAATGGAGGTAAGCTCCTGAAGCACATGAAGAGAGTTTGTTTGGGGAGGGGAAGCAGCAATATGAGAATGGCAGCGAAATGGGGAAGCTTAAGGGGGCACAGTGCAAGCAAAACAAATGACATAACCACCTTTTTATCTGCGTCAGTCTGCTAGTCCAAATAATCTACCTGACAATGGGATTTACAGAGAACTAGACATCATCTACACACTTAAAAACAAGTAATAATTTTCCTTTCCACCTTCAAAGTTCATTTCAAAAGCTGCCCTTCAACTTCTCCTCAAACGCACATACGCCCACATATGCACGTGCATACACACAAAAGCTTGGCTGTCTGTCCTCGCTGACTCCTGATCCTGCAGCGGGGCTCCATGCCGTAGCACAGGCCCAGCAGCAGATCCACCCTCAGCCTTAGCCAATGTGTTGGCTAGCTGTGGGAGCTAGCCATACAAATGGCCTCTCCCATCTCCAAGGAGGACAGGCACATGCTTTAACCCTTTGTGTCCCTCTGCTCTTCTCGTCTCTCCAAGCCAGCCAGACAGCAGCAGGAGCAGCAATTGAAAAGTATGTTTTAAAAAAAAAAAAGACACAAAGAGCCACATAGTAACAGGCTGGGGCTGAACTGAAGTCAGCTGGATTGCAGTGCTCCCTCAGTCTTATCCTGACCATAAATTGGCTGTTTATATACAGATCTGAAGCACAAGCAGCTCTTATTAAGTCTCTTTGGTTGCACATCTATCTTTAGTGGACAGAAGGACAAACAAAGTCTCTATTATAATATTTTTATTCAGTTCTTTTTGAGAGAAATTTCTTCTCTTCTGTGGTAATGGTTGAAACTCCTGTTGAGATCACGTTAAAGACAGTATTGTGCAGAACAGCTTCATACAGTGAGTGATGGATCATGCCTCGTCTTGTCTACAACTCATTAAGGGTTCTTAGAGACTGAACGGCCCCACAGCGACTCAACCAAATTCCATCCAGATCGAGATATGTTTGAACAACTGACGCCTGCGCTTACAAACTGATTTCAATAAGTTTGACATTTATGTACAAATGATCCCAAACACTAGACATTTTCTATCTAAATGGATGTTTATAATTTCTGACTGAGATCCATCAAATTCTTATTCAATAAACAATGATGAATATATACTGACAGACATAAATAACTGCATTAGAGCTTATATTCATATTTATTTATTTTAGTCACGTTCCTACCTTTTCTAAACTACTGCAATTTTACATGCTTGTCTCTTGTTTTGTCTCATCTTTTGTACTTAGTCTGTGTAATGCCCTTGATGTTCCGCTGTAACACAATAATTTATATATATATATATAAAAAAACACAGAGAACTTTATCAATCAATTAAATTACATTAAAACTATTTGGATGATTTAATATTTGCTGGTTCTCAAATGAGGGATTTTCTCTTTTATATGATTTTATTTCTATTTAGAATGGCAATGTAGCACCATTGTTCAGCCAAATGCCATGTGAATGTGATCAGGATTTTACAATTAGCCATTGCTCTTTCCAAACAAACAGCTTCTATCACGTCATCAGGGGGTGTTTACCAATTTGGCACTTTTAATGTTGGATTAATCAACCTTTTAAACCTCTTCGGTGATGCTTTAAAAAATAGCTTTTAGAAACTGGACAAACCTAGCTACTCTCATTTTATTCAGAGTATTTGTCAAAATAATTGCAAATGTTATCATGTCGAAGTTTAATCTTGTTGTTTTAACAGAGGCACAAGTGTGGGTGTAGCGGCAAAGGTTAATGTGTGTCACTCCAATGGGTAAATCCATTTGAGTGACTGATGTTAAGCTTCAGACATGCACCTGAAAGAACAAGTGGGCAACCACTTTCACAAAGCACCAAAACAAACCACTCACTCACCGTTGAAAAGATTTATACAGCTTTGCCAGCAGCTGACTTGGCCACGTCTGCTTAGTTAAAATCAATGTAGAGTGGAAATCAATCCCAAATTATTCACTGTTAGACATAACAGAGGGTTCTTATATACAAACAGGACGGACCACACTGAGGAAAATAGACTTGTTCCTTGTGTGCTTGTCAGAAATGTTTTCAAGGTTGAGACCCTGAGGGCCTTTGAGTGTGGGGCCACCCCAAGCCACCTCTGATCTCCTGGACGAAGGGGACGCTGAGGAGGCCGCTTGGAGGAGTTTGTCGTTCTTTCATTAAAAACATACAAATCTCTGGTTTCTTTTCTTTAGTATTCATGTCATTATTATTATCATTATAGACGCAGCACGTATTATAGTTCACAAAGGGCAGAGGTCTGGTCCGTGTCATGTATTTTTTAGTTTGAGTTAGATCTTGTCAGCATCTTTAATGTTTATCTATTTGTGCAGAGTAAAATCACTTGACAACAATAAATCAATGGGGTTTTTTGGGAGGCAAGTGCCAGGTCAGCAGTTGGACTTAGATTTATTTAGGACTGGAAACATCTTTAAAAAAAAAAAAATAAATAAAAAAGTCTTGAGGCAGAATTTGTGTCTCTGAACCCTTTATCCTTATTACACTGGTTCATCTGGCATCCTGGTCGAGCCCTGTCTGATCTTTTGTCATGCAGTTTGTGCAAAGTGCAGCAGGATCACATGAAGGCGGAGGAATAAAGGTGCAGAAATGCCTGGCTCTTTATCTCATTAGTGGAGGTTTCACTTGGATGAGGCTACACAATGAGATGCTGAATCCCCAAAGCCTGACACGGACAACAACAACAAACCAACACAACTCCAGGCTCCAGTGTGACAGAGATGAATACACCCTGTCAGGGCGATGCCAGCTTGGAATAGGGAGGTGAAGAAAAAGCTCTGTGCAAACTGCCAGCCAACGCTACTTGTGGGGTGTCGAAAAAGCAGAAAGAATCCACATTACTTGCTAGGAATGACTCACAGATCACCACAGTTCCATTGTCTGCAGTTCTGGAATCGAACTGAAACCAATACTCAAGAGTTTCCTATTTATGTTCCTTTGACCAACATTAAAATGCACACTGTATTAGTCAAGCAAAGAGGATTAAAGACTGTACTCCAAAACTGAGATTTCTGCC